ATTCATCTGCGAGAGAAAATGTACATGTATTTGGTAACAAGACTTTTATTCCCTAAAAATTTTTCTCACAAATCTGTGCTTGCTTTATATAGAACCTCACTTCCTTCGGGCATCCTCTCACTTTGTCCAGTGGTAAAACACAAGATCATTCATAGCATCAGGTTCCGGGCTCGTCGATTTTTATATAAAATGAAATTGAAACATCGTTTTTTCTTCAAAGCATGTTTTTTTGCTGTTTAAGCTGTTTAACAATAATTGATAATTTTTTTTAATGGGAAGTTTACAAATTCTGAGTTTGGTTTTATACCATTTTCTTAGTTATTTTTTCACTTAAATGGTTTTGGTTTATGTTATATTGCGTCGTTTGAGGGAATAAGAGATTGTTGTGCTGTATGTATCAGTTGATATGGGGCACCTAATTTTTGAAGAATTTAAAAATTGCCTAATTTTTTTGTTATGACCTTTCCGGATCACGTGGCATCTACCTGAGTATTTGCAAAAACTTTTCCCCGTATCCAGAAAAACAGGTCTAAATTCGAGCGAATAAATGCGAGCGAGTTCTACCTTGTAAAGTTTTACTTAGTTGCCAAGTAAAGTTGTGTTTGAAGTTAGTAGCGCCATTTGGAAAGTAAAAACCTCAAAAACTCGAAAAATTCCTGCAAAAATTTTGAAATTTTTTCTTTTTTTTGTGTTTTTTTATTAGTAATTTTTCTACAGTTTTTGACTATGTCTGTCAAATATTCTTGTGTTCCATTTTTTTCGTTCAGATCTTTTTATCACACCACGCAGAAAAAAACGACACTACTCCAAGAAAGTTTTTTTTTGTTCTTGGTCGAAACATTCGGTGGTACTGGCACAGTAACCAGCTATCATTTTTCCATTTTTTTTCTATTTTACTCATTTTCGATGAAATGATTTCCGTCTCTTTTTTTTCTCACTTTCTACTGATTTTGGTCTCGTTTTTTTAACCCACTAGCTTGCAAATCTAGTTGTAGTAGTTAAAATCTTCAACTTAACCCGCGGAAGAATTTATATAAGTCAAACAAAGCTCTTAGGAAATTCTGTACAGAATGAACAACGGCATTTAAGTGACCCTTTAGAGATTTTGCGGGTTTTCAACATCAGATGCGAAGAGTGTCTGAGGGTCCGATTTGGTTCCAGGATTTCGCAAAAATCATCTAAGTTAAAACAATTGGCTCTGAGACGAATACTGATGAAAAATCGTATGTCTTTTTCAATCAATTGGTAAGCTATCGACAGCGTATTTGAAATGTACAACAAATCTTGATAATTTTAGCGCCGTAATATGCCGTGGTAAAGTCAGAGTAATTAAACGATTCGAATTGTCTCAACGTTTTTATATCCAGAAACCAAGCAGAATGAGCATATAGCAAGATAACAGTGCCATTGATAACCGAAAAGTTTTCGCGCCTTCTGTCATTTATTTCTTGCATGATAAACCCATTTTAAATTAGTGGTAACTTTAGTCCTAAGCCAGTACTATGATTGATTATTTGGAGCTCAGTGTTTACCAGAAAAAGGGATGCAGAATTCTTGATCCCGCTTGGTAAAACACCATATTTGGGTATATTAAGTCTAAGTCGCCGAAAGTTTGAGGACATCTAAGTCATCCTGCAAAAGTAGAATTGAGAGGAGTGAGAGATGTATTCAGCTTTGTATCATCAGCGAAACAAAAACAGGCTGAGTTCATCGGTAAATCGAGCATGAAAATGATAAACAGCAAAGATCCAAGTACACTTCCCTGTGGGACTCCACTAGTTTCTGGTAGTAGGCTGATGAACATCCGTTTACTTTAACACACTGCTTTCTACCTTCCAACTAAGACTGAAACAGATTGAGAAATCTTCGTGAAAACCATTGAAAGCGAGTTTGTTTTGCAATAAAAACATGAGACAGAAACAAACGCGTTTTGGAAGTCAGGATACAGAATGAGCCGATTGACATCGTCATAATTCAAGTTAACTTTATCAAGAAACATCAGTAATTAGGTGACGCATGATTGACCTTTTTCTGAATCTTGTAGCTTTTCATTAAGATTGGCTTGAATCTGCGGATAAGTGCAATTGAACAATTTTTTTTTCAAAAATTAGGAATAGTCTAGGTAAGATTGAAGTAGGTCGATAATTTTTAACAAATGGTTCAGTTTATTTTTTGTGTATCGGGGATATGTGCGCAATTTTCCAAAAAGCAGGCCACGTTCGTGAAGAAATAATATATTTAAATAAAAGGTAGACAAAGGATGCTAAAAAGAAGCGTTCTGGTCATGAATTAAGCTCGGCACGTTGTCACAAGCACAGGATCCCGTATCGGGAACTTTTTCCAGAGCCATACCATGAATTTCTAAATCAATATCAGTAAGAAAAACAGGGCGATTCAACTGAAGATATATCCAACGGCGAGATATGAGCGTCATGAAAAACTGAATAAAAATTTTTGTTGAAAAACTCAGCTTTGTTCAATTTCTATGCTTGCGTTGTTTCACTACATTTGCGAACCTCTGCTTCGCTTGTGTAAAATTTATAGCACTCAATTTTGCCACTCGTTGCTTGTTTTTGCATTGTGCAGCTTTGCTTCTGTGTAATCTCACAAAAGTTTTGGTGCAATGTTTAATGTTGCTGAAAATCTTAAGGACACATAAAAGTTAGCTTCAAATTGGATTTCCATAATTGTGAAGCAATACTTGTTTATTTTTATCCAGCCACTTTTTTCATTGCTTTGATTCTGTTTTCACATATTTTTTCGTATCGCTACTGATGCGAAGACCGGCTTCGCCTCTGTGTCTATTTTTATTTTCTCTCCAGACTCATTTTTTTGTCTCTTAGTTTTTAAGCTCCATTTTGCCTGTGTGCAGCTTTTCCTGTGTATATAATTTGTAGATGTATTTATACCACAAAAATTGCTTAAGTTTATCCTCCCAGTTTGCTGGTTTTCTTCAGACAGCTTTTAAAAGATAGTTTATATTGATTTTTATTCCAGCCAAATATTCTCGCAACGGACCATCCGGTGCTCCTTCATTCATTATGAGCAAAACTAATCAGAGCAATGGAAACTCGAACGGAACCGCTAACAAACTCGATTCGGCAAGTGACAACTCGGCTACAGATCTGCTAGACGACGACTATGTTGATTTTCAAGACCACAAGAACAGAGAAGAAGCAAATAATATAAAAAATTTTGGAGCTCGGAATACGGGACCAACCTCAATTTTTGACGACATATAAGTTTGTTTGGGAGTTGTATGATTTAAAAAAGCAATCAAATTTATAATTTCATTTAGTCGTTCAAGTAATTTAGTTACGTATGAGTTTAAGTTCAAGTTTGTTGGGATGTCTCATATCCTATCATTGTGCTGTATATTTTGGATAGTCAATGTTTTAATGTATTTAGAATTTTTTTCTGATGACCATGGCGTATTATTTAGTTAGTGGCATAAATCGTTGCAATTATCTTTTGTTTTGTATGATTCTCATCCAGCTTTCTGGCATGCATATTCATCGTGTTTAGTGTTATGCTTTTTTGGCGGTGTTATCTTTGAAACTGGTTGCGGACGCCTCAGTAAATCTAAAAATACACTAGAGCAGAAAATCGCCATTCTGTTTTCCTTGACTTGCATAAGACTCAAAAACTAAATACGGAATAGGTAGTTTTCACTTCAATCAAACCATCCGCATGGACTACAAATCTGTTTTTTTGATTCAACTAGAGTAATGAACGTAGTGAAGACTTATATAGGTCTTGTTGATTTTTTTTGTTTTTTTTTTTCAGGAAAAATTTTGATGCACTTAGGTATAATGCATTTTTTGAGTTCAATTGAAATTCATCTGCTGAAAGTGACGTGAATAGCACTCTCCAATTACAAACTTAGAAATGGCGCAAAAAAACGTGAAATATTTCTAGTTTCGAAAGTGGATTTTATTTTAATGATTTCCCAGCGGAATAAAAACTTTACCTATAGATCCAGTTTTCTCATGGATTCATGTTATCAAAAAAGCGCCAATCATAAATTGTTCTAGAATTTGAAGAGCTTAAAGGGCTTCTATTTTTTTCTTTCAATCTCGAAAGTTTTCAACTAGATTTTTTCAAGAAAGTCAGTTTGTTTTTTATGTTTACTTGCGTTCATTACTCTTTTTCAATCTTCGATTGGCTATGTTTTATGGTGCCGCTAATTTTTTATTGCCTACATTTTCTTCCGAGAAATCGGTGCATAAATCTTATCAGATACCCACGGGTAACATATTTTCTGTGCACGTCACGTATTGTCGCTCAAATTGATCTGGTTTATTTTGCATTCACTTTCCCCTGCCATCAGTTTTGTCACACAGACACAAGTCCGGTTTATGATATTGTTGACAAGTAGTCGTTAATACACTCATGTGTTCTTGTAATATACACAGTCCTAGTTTGCGATGACCTTTAATTGTGCTCTTCACCTCTTCTGATCTTGCGTCAAACTCACTTTGGGTTTTCAAAAGGCATATGTGCTGTATTCTGTGAGTGTGTAGTTTAAAAAGTATCAGATCATATAACAAACATTTCAAGATTCTTTTGAAAATTTTATTATAGTTGAATTCTTTCTTTTGTGATCGAAACAATAATGGAATATTAGCTCGCCAATAACTGTTAGAAATTAAATTTATATTTTCATTGTTTTTCGATAGTCTCACTGACTTAAGCGCGCTGTTTTTTTTTCTAGGGTTATCATTGGCGCGTTTTATATGATAGTGAATTGTTGTTGAGCAGCCATTTAGTGATGTCTTTTAAAGGGCGGTGAAATCTTCTAACAAGTGAGCGGCTGCACAACTGTTGTTCTGACCCTCCGAGAGGGAAGGAACTATGGCGTAAGGTCCGTTCTTTATTTTTTTTCAGCCAAATATATCTTCCTCAAGGAAAGCTTGTAGGGGATCAAGTATTGTATCCGATTAAGGCACTATTGGTTGTTGGGATACTAAAAGAAAATTCAAATGTGTCTCAGGGTCGAGAAAAATTGAGCTCTTTTGTTTTCGTGTTTCATGACTTTTGTTTTCGTGACTAATTCTACTAGTTTTAAAGTCATTTTCACTGTGCTCACCGTTCTGCCTTGTTTTTTTTCCACCTATTTTGGTCACACCTGCTAGAAAAAGAACAGAAAAAGTAGACAACAACAATTAGAAACAGAATTAATTTTTTGGACGCTTTTAATTTTGTTTACACTTGCGCAAGTGTTTTAAAACCGGGCACCGGATTTTTTTCCCCAAAAATAACTTTGTTTCCGCTTCGCCTCTATGTTGATTTTTGTTCCGACTATTGAAAATGGGGAGGAACTTTGTACTAGGGTGTGTTTTAGTTTTTTGAGTTACCACAAAAAATCATCGGACTGGGCTGAGTGATATATAATATTTTTTGATGTATCAAAATTTTTTCCACAGTTTCGAGAAAAACCAGTTTGAAATTTTTGGCCTGAATTCGAGTTGATAAGGTGACCGTGTAGCATATTTAAGCCGTGAAAACTAATTTTGCTTAAGTAAATGTAGTGTTTGGAGTTTTTTAGCGCAGGGAATCAAAAACAAGTTTCAAAATAATTCTGAAAAAAAATGAAAGTTTTTGAAGTTTTTTCAAATTTAAATTTTTTTTTCTTTTTTTTCTGGTCAATTTTCTTCAAAAACTGTTTGTCACTTGACCTATTTTACTATGACTCTGAAATATGCCTAAGTTCTATTTTTTCTTTCAGATCTTTGTATTGTTAAGATTCAGAGTTAGAGCAAGTAGGACTAGGGGATAGAGGTTTGAGAGTTATCTGAGGTTTCAACTGAGGAGAGAGAAGAGATACTGATTGTTGAAGAATGAATTGAGATTGTGTTTATAAAATGACACGACAAACTGAGCATCAAATAGTACCAGTTAATTAATTACCAGTTAATTAATTAGTTTATCAAATACCAGCAGACCAGTTGACCTTGTCTGAGTGCATTGAGTTTTATACCAGTTGACCTTTAATTAGGTTTCTATTGCTCAAGTCTGACCTTGAGTTTGGTCTGGTATTTCACTAGTCTGGCATTGAGCTCGTCTGTCCTCAACACCCCCACTCAGGCTGAATTGGCTTTGTCCAATGTCAGGCTGCAACCCATCAGCGTTCGACGATGTTGATCCACCTTTGCCTTGCTCAGGGATTTCGTCAACAAGTCAGCCTCCATGTTTTCGGTTGGACAGTACTCGAGCGCAAATGTTCCATCCTCGACCCGCTCTCGGACAAAGTGATACTTGACATCAATGTGCTTTGTACGCTTCTGCATTACGGGATTTTTTGCACATCTTGATGCAGCTCTGGTTGTCCTCGTTGATCACAGTTGGACCATCACACGTCATATCCATCTCATTGAGTAGGGATCGTAAGTAGAGGCCTTCCTGAACAGCCGCTGCCATTGCTTGATACTCAGCTTCGCTGGTAGATATTGCTGCAGTAGGTTGCTTCTTGGTACTCCAGCTGATTGCTGCTCCTGACCGCTGCACATGAAAACTGTAGCCTGTTGTTGACCTTCTGTCATCAACGTCACCAGCCCAGTCAGCATCTGCTGAACCATAAAGGTTGAACCCATCAGGATCTTTGATGTAGCACAGCTCCAGATCTTTGGTTCCTTTCAGGTATCGCAGTACTCTCTTAGCAGCCACCCAGTGTGTTCTCCCAGGATTCTCCAGAAACCGTGAAAGTTGAGTCACAGTAGCTAGGATGTCTGGCCTCGTTTGCTTGGCTATGTACAATAACGAGCCCACTATGCCTCTGTAGTCCTCACGCTGCATTGCCACTGCTTCTTCTGAGCCCGCTCCAGGGCAGTCCTTCTTCGTCAACTGAGTGCTGATATCAGCTGGTGTCCCTACTGGTTTGCAGTCAGCCAACCCAAAGCGCTCCAAGCAGTCTTCAATGTAGCGAGACTGATTCACAGTGACAGAACCAGGTGCCCGTTTGACCTGCATTTTCAAAAACCAGGCTAATGGACCGCGATCATCCATCTTGAATCGGTCAGTGAATCGGTCCCTCACCCTGTCAACTTCTGCTTGCAGTTTGCAGCCAATGATGATATCATCCACCCATACTAGAACATAGATCATAGCATCATCCATTCCCCTCATCGTGAACAAACAGAAGTCATTGGTGCTTCGAGTGAAACCAGTCTCCAGAAGAAACGTGCTCAGCGTCTGGTACCAGTCCCTTCCTGCCTGCTTCAGCCCATAGATACTGCGTTGTAGCAAACACACTTGGTTGTCCCCGCTGCTGAACCCCTCGGGCTGTTCCATATACACAGTTTCTGTTAACGGCGAGTTGAGGAAGGCTGACTTCACGTCCATCTGATGAAGTACAAGATCATCTTGCGCTCCCAAAGCCAGTAGTATTCTCTTTGTTTCTGGTTTACAGGTTGGCGCAAAGGTCTCATTGAAGTCCAGTCCTTCCACTTGCATAAAACCCTTCACCACGTATCTGGCTTTAAACCGCTCCACTTGTCCCATTGCATCTCTCTTCACAGCAAGCACCCAGCGTCCAGGAATGACCTTGCGAGAATTTGGTCTATCAACAAGTGTCCAGGTGCCCATTGCCTTCAGTGACTGCACCTCCAAAGCCATAGCTGCTAGCCACTGCTCCCTTTCTGGTCCAGATACTGCTTCCAAGTAGCTTCTTGGCTCTTGTGCTATCACTGAAGCATGAGTGTAAGCCAGTCCGTATCGGATGGGAGGGTTCCGCGTTCTAGTTGACCGCTGCTCTGGAATCTCTGTTGGCCTCTGCTCTGGAGGCTCTGTGGAAGGTGGTTCCAATTCTTCAGTCTCGACTGGGTCATCTTCCGTAACCCCCACTGAAGCTGCTGCTCCACTATCATTCGCTTTATTGGTAGACTCAGTGATGGCCTTCGTGCTAGTTTCCTCTACATCAATGCATCCCTCGATTGATAGACCCAGTGTTTGTGACTGCTCACTGTCTACCAGAAAGTCGTCTGGAATGATGTCTTCATTGAACGTCACGCTTCTTGCTCGTACCACTCGCTTTGTCTCCAGGTCCATCAGCAAGTAGGCTTTGCTCTCCTCGTCATAACCAATGAACTTGCTCTTCTTGCCTTTCGGATCCAGTTTCCGCCGGTTTCCTCTGTCCAGGTAGTACGCCAGGCATCCGAACACTCGCAGGTAGTTGACTTTCGATGGCTTCCCATAATGCATCTCCATTGATGAAATGCGATGCTCATTGCTGGATGTAGGACACAAGTTGCGAACCCTGACTGCCGTTGACATTGCTCGTACCCAGAACATCTTTGAGAGCTTTGCATCGGCCAGTAGACATCGAGTCATCTCAGTTATCACCCTGTTGTACCTCTCTGCCACGCCATTCTGTTGCGGAGTATTAGGTACTGTAAACTCCTGTTTCACCTGCATTTCTCTACAGAACATCCGAAAAGCATTCGACGAATACTCACCTCCGTTGTCAGTTCTCAAGCACTTCGGTGTTCCGTGCTCAGCTACAAAGTCTTTGAACTTCGAAAGAGTATCGCTCTTCTTAACCAGGTACTTGACCACTGCCAGACGGCTGAAGTCATCAATGAAGCTCACGGCATAGCGCGCTCCATGCATGCTCGCAACTTCAAATGGTCCCTGGATGTCGCTGAAGACCCGCTGCCCCACTGCAGTTGCCCTGTTCTCTGTCTTCTTTGGCATTGCTACTTCGTGCATCTTCGAAGCTGTGCACACTTCGCAGAACCCTAGCTCGCCGACATCAACAACTGATATTAGATCATGCTTGTTGAGATGCCCCAGCCTTCGGTGCCACAGCATTGCACTACTTGTCTCCATCTTCGCTTTCGTAGCTAGAGTCATCGCGTTCCTCTTGAACTTGCACTCCAGGAAGAAAAGCTTGCCGCGCTGCTTCACTGGTAGCCGTCGACCATCCGGTGCCACAAGATGAGAAGAGTCTGATGTAAAGCTGAAACTAGACCCTCTAGCTATTGCTGAGCTCACACTCATCAGATTCACGTTGTAGCTCGGCACAAACAGCACATTGTGGAAAGTGTAGCTCCTCGTCACATCTTGACAGTCTCGTATGTCCACTTCCACCGAGCCTATGCCCTCAATCTTTGATATTGTACCGTTCGGATTCTCAACTGTTGTCCCCTCATCCCATTTCTCAAAGCTTGAGAAGACAGCCTTGTCGCGCACTACATGATCGGTGCATCCCGTATCCACAATGAGATCATCTCCCTTCATTGAGGTTGTTGCACAACAACTGAAGAACCCTGTCTTTGCCTGCTTGCAGTCCCTTGCAAAGTGTCCTTGTTGTCCACACTTGAAGCACCCTTGCTTCCTTGAAGTTGGACCACTTGCTTCATTCGAGCCACTGCCTCGAGCACCAGATTGACCACTGTCACTTCTGGATCTGCAATCTCTTGCCAAATGACCCTTCTGACCGCACACAAAACAGCCACCACCCGACGCTCCTTTCTTCTTCCTCACAGCTTGCATAGCTATGTGTCCATTCCCAGTCTTCTCTCCACATCGAGCTCGTCTCGAGTCATCATAGTTCCTCAACCTCGTTCTCAGCTCTGTAAAAGTCTTGGCCGGCTGGAAGCTCTCCTGCACCACGAAATGCTCAAAGCTGTCAGGCAGTCCGTTGATCACGAGCGCATTGAAGAGTGTGTCCGTAATTGCTTCCCCAGCTTCACTCATCCGCGTCATCAGCTCTTGACTTCGAACGAAGTAGTCATCGAGATCCTCCTCTGATCCTAGGCGCAGCTTCGCAAGCTGGCCTACTAGACTGACCACTGTAGGCCTCTCCACACTGCAAAACTTCTCTTGCAGCAGTCTCCAGGCCTTCGTCCCATCGCCATAGCCATCCGCAGCCACGCAGTCGTTCTTGATGTACATCAGTGTGGTGTTGTTCAGGACCAGAGCTAGATGTGACCACACTGTGTTTCGGTTGTCTTTCCTCTGCTGGATCAGCACAGCTCGCTCCTGCATCTTGGTGTTGTACGCCGTCATCTGGTCAGCATTCGGATTCTCAGGTAGCGTAGGTTCAGCTTCTGGTAGATCGTCATTGCCCATCACAGTCCTGAACAGGCCTTTGGTATGCATCAGTGCCACAAACTTCGTCGACCAAGCTGGAAAATCTTCAGACTTTCCACTGAATCCAGCCAGTTTCAAGTCCATCTCTGCTTTGCTAAAGGCTAGATAAAAGCTAAAAAAAACTCTGACAGAAATCAAATAATTATTAAATCAAAAAGTTTAGAAATCTGGGCCCATAACCTGTTAAGATTCAGAGTTAGAGCAAGTAGGACTAGGGGATAGAGGTTTGAGAGTTATCTGAGGTTTCAACTGAGGAGAGAGAAGAGATACTGATTGTTGAAGAATGAATTGAGATTGTGTTTATAAAATGACACGACAAACTGAGCATCAAATAGTACCAGTTAATTAATTACCAGTTAATTAATTAGTTTATCAAATACCAGCAGACCAGTTGACCTTGTCTGAGTGCATTGAGTTTTATACCAGTTGACCTTTAATTAGGTTTCTATTGCTCAAGTCTGACCTTGAGTTTGGTCTGGTATTTCACTAGTCTGGCATTGAGCTCGTCTGTCCTCAACATGTATCACAACATGCTGAAAAAAACGACGCCAATTCGGAAAAACTTCTTTTAATCTTTTTAAGACTGGTCGGAACATTCTGCGCTACTTGCACAGTAACCGGCTATTCTTGTTTTCTTTTCAGTTTGGTCGGAATTATCTGTGCTACTTGCAACCGACTATCCTTGTATAATTTGGCTGGCATATTTAAGGCTTGCAGCTAGTGATTTGCATCCAATGTACGGGAGGTTCCAATTCTGTTTTTGATTTCTTTTTGAGATAAATTCAATTCAATTTAGTAAAAAGAAAGGTCAAGTAAACTCTTTTGAAATGTTTTTCAGAACGCCATACCGGGCAAAGGCTCAAATTGATTCTTTAGATTTTTTCTATCTTGAAATAAACTGTGCTGCATTTCTCAATTGTTGGCCGAGTCTGTTGGATTTAATTTTAGCCCTGCTTTCTTCGTCTGTAGTCGAGGCAACGCTTTTGTGTGATCTGCTGAGCAAATTGAATATGAATTCGGTGTACGTGATGAAATTTCATTTCAGAGTAGGTTTGTGGATGTTAGACGCTCAGGGGATCCCACTTTGTTTAGCCATGTATTGGTTTTGATGCTCTCAAGATACGACAGAAGAGAAGAAGATTAAATGGAGCCTACAAACGCTGAAGTAAGTTCGAATAATCAAGAACGAATTTATTACAGACGAGCTAACGTAGAGTTAGAAAAAAAATTCGGCCTACTTTGTTGTCAACGCAAAAATTGAAGCGCATGTTTAGCTACCTGACGTCCAAGAAAAAAGTATACGTGAAATTAGTTGAAAGACGCCATGGCTAAGCGGTTACAGCAAGTGATTCTTGATCTGAAGTTCCTAGTCTGAGCCCCGTCTCGGTCTCAGAGGTTATTATTAAGTGTCAATGAACCAAGTGGTCTGAGATAATTATGCTCTAAATTGGTAAAGTATTTAGAAGTCTATGTAAATGATTCGTTGACTTTTTTGTTTGTGCTCGAAGAATTTACTTAAAAAATTATTTACGGATCTACTAATGTTCACGTGGGGCACAAACCAGTGAAACATTTTTGGCTTCCAGAGCAATAGGCCACTATATGTTTAGAACCTGACTACGACGAATCCAATGGAAACAGGCACCGAATCTGTTCATGCTCTTGGTGGAACATCTGAAGACAGATTGAATGAGGATCCTCATGGTGAGAGATTCGTTACAATTGCTTAAAATTTAAAAGCTACGTGTCTAAAGAGTAATTGCAGAATATGATTAGTTGCCATAATAATGTTTATATTTATAAATAGACAACTCTATAGCTCTATTTAAGTCAATGGAAGCTAGCTTTGTTACCCTTTTCAGAATTGAGTCTTCCTGAAGAGGAATCGACAAATCAAATTCACAATTTTACAGATGGCAATGAGATCTCAATGCCTGGGACCACAGAAACAAGGTGATTTCTCGGTTTATTATAGTTTTTTTTTGGTTTATTTGAGTCGAACAAATATTTTAATCTTGAGTTTGTTGCAGCTCAACAATAAACCAAATAGCCATGCACGCAGCGCCTGATGTAAGCACAATGTCTTTGGATCTGCAATCCTCTATATCTGGCACAGTTATCCAAGACCAGAGTCAGAAACCGAATACAACATCCGGTTGTTGGTCATCCAATGACGGCCTCCTTGCCTCGACCGAAGCCTGTAATGGTGAATCCGAGTCTGCTGATAACCACACTGTCGATGATTCGAGATCATTTGAAACGGATGGTGCCGATGATCCGACAAGTGGTTTGACAGTCGGTGTGGGAGAAAACAGTCAGTCCTCCTATTTTCCGCCTTTTGTATACGCTTCTTCGGATCTTCCGCCTACTCCGAATTCTCAGTTAGAAGGATATTCGACGCTTGATTTCAACCTCCAAACAGCACCATATCTATCCCCGCAACATGCAGCTGCGGCAGTCGAGTACCCCGCCTTTTTCTCGCCCGTATCCCCCGATTACCCACCATGGGCAACGCACCCCTCGGGTCAGTTTGACCTTGGAGCATCCCTGGGTTCACCTGCAGATACAGCAAACAACCTGAAGTTTTTGGAACAGGACATGGCGAATTTAGCCCTAATAAGTGCCATGACTGGTGTTCATCCTCTGGACTTCGCAAACTATCAGGCCCAACTTGGGGCAGCCGCAAATCCACATTTGTTCTCCCCCAATCTGAACAATTATGGGGTTCAGCACGGTTCGGTTTCTCATGCAGGTAAGAACTACCACAACCAGAAGTCAAGGCATAGGTCAGCAGGGGGCAACTCAATGCAGCCGCATGTGTCAACTGGAGCCTTGGCTAACAATTTGACCTCTGTTTCGAATGCAGTGGGCGCAACTGGGGGCATGTCGCATTACCAGCAGAGCCATAATCCCTATTATCACAGACAACCACAGCACCAGATGTTAGATATAGGTGAGGCTATACCGGGGAAGTTGCGAGGAAATGCAGTAGTTAAAGCAGCCTTGTGGAAACTTCGGATATCACTAATAGTTAATCGACTTGCAATTTTTCCTGAACGGCCACATTAGCTTCATTGTCCTTAAAAATCAGAATATAGAGAAATTTGGAGAGATGGTTGTGTAGTTGCATCTAAGAAGGTGGTGTGTTTGCTAAATCAAATAGTTAAATTCTCTTAGTATTTGGACCGCTAGTTTGGCGTTAGAACACTCAATTAGAGTGATGCATACAGTGAATTAAGGCCGCGAAATCAATTACACAGATTACTTTTTTAAAGTAAAAATGTGGAAAACTTCAAATGCCTGATCTGGTCAGAAACTTTCCGGAAAATGATTCTGGATTATGGGTCACCATTATATTGTAGATTTGAAATGATTGTGTATTTTAGGCACCTGGCAGTATGGAGATGAGATAAACGCGAGCAATAAGACGTTAACGCGGTCAGGAAAGATAGTTCCCACTCCCAGTGAGAAGGAAAACGAAGTGTTGCACAAACTGCGGCAACAGAACGACTACAACCCAACCGAGTTCGATTGCAACCCTAAAGAGGCGAAGTTCTTTGTTATTAAAAGCTACAGTGAAGACGATATCCACAGATCTATTAAGTACAACATATGGTGCTCAACCGACCGTGGAAATCGTAAGTTAAATGAAGCGTACAATCGCATACAAGGAAAGGGACCTTTGTACTTGATGTATAGTGTAAACGGTTCTGGACACTTTTGCGGAGTCGCTGAGATGAAATCTTATGTCGACTTAGACGCACATCAAAAAGTCTGGTCCCAAAGTAAATGGAAAGGATCCTTCGACGTCAAATGGATCTTCGTCAAAGACGTTCCTAACTCCAGCTTGAGGCACATCAGATTAGAAAATAACGAGAACAAACCGGTTACTAACTCTCGCGATACTCAAGAAATCCCGTTTGAAAAGGGTAAACTCATTCTGAAGACTTTCCACAAATACGAACACGCAACCAGTCTCTTTGACGACTTCTCACACTACGAAAGTCGAGAAAAGGAGGCCGAATCACAGAACCATTTCCCTGAACCCTCTGGACATGGGAGGAACTATCACCACTCTGGATCCTCTATGTCTGGGAATCGTCAGTTCCCGTCGGCAACGATGGGTGCTCATGGAGGCAGAGGTGCTAGAGGGGGAATGACGTACGGTACTGGCGATGGTACAAGGAATGGTGTTATGGGGTCGACAGGGTTTAATATGGGATATGTGGCGAACTCTTCAGCAAATGGAAATAATGAAGTTTCCCAAACTGACTCTTCCACAATAGCCCCAGCTAATGAGCAGGGACACCTTAGTTTGCACTTAAACTACAGCAGCCACAATGGAGTGGACGGTGAAAATAACTGATTTAAGTGTTCATCTATGGAAGATGCTTTAAACGTAATTTGGTATTCACAGTTTTATCTGAACTGCATTCAAAAGTTGAAAGCCTTTTTCCGCTTCAGTGTAAAAAAAAAACAAATATCTGAAGTTTTTAAAACGAAATCCGTTTCGTCTGACAATATCTAGTGTATAATTGAGTCGAATAGAGGAATGTGCGAGCAGAAAATTTTGTCATCAAAAGCTGCTTCAACGATTGAAAAATATGAGCTACGTCTATTCATGTTACGTTTGTTAACTTCCCTTCTCTAAGTTAGAGGAATTTTGTAATTCATACATATAACGAATATCCACCTGTTGGGCTAACTAACGTCTGTTTGAACTAACTGTGCTTATAATAGATACACTAAAAGCGTTTATTTTCTCAATATTTTTTCACAGAACTCGATTTTTCTGTGAGATCAAGCTCTATTTTTACATGCTTAGTTCAACTTTTTGTTCATCTCAGTGCTATCGGTATCACTCAGAGTGATGAAAAATATGAATATTGAGTCATTCCAGCAGATTGATTTGTTGTCGAATACTGTCGTCATAGTCAAGGCACTAGTGAGTCTTGGACATTTTCGGAATCGTTGCGTGAAACAATTAAAATATCTAGAGCCGAATTTGTTAATATGCTTAAAATCTGTACCAAAACACCATATTTGCTGCCTATCTTTTCGTTTCGTTGGTGCAAATAAATTAGTTTGGCCTTTAATAAAGGAAAAACTACTGCTGTATGTGCAAAACTATAAAGTCTATGGTAATATTGTAAATGATGTTTCGTTTTGATCAGCAAAAAGGGTCACTTAGAGAATTGTTATAATCGAAGTTTGACCCCTGAATTCAAAACAAGTGAGGGTTCCCACCAATTCTGGAGTATTAACTGTTTGACTTGCTTTCAACCAACCACCATCTTATATCGGAGCTTTTATTGTGATACTGTATGACCTAATCATCTGAAAAATGGAAGGCGCTCATCCTTTGTTCGTTTGTTGTTAATAATCTTACTCTTCGTTTATATCAACATTTATTTTCATATGTTAAACCGCTAGATACGTTTACATCGTTTATAGAACAATTACTGCTTTTGGTTTCTCAAATTATTTTTCAAAATTACTACGAAACAAACACTGCTATGATGATATTGGTTATTATTAATTATTAATTGATTAATTCTCAGACAAGAATGAATTCTTGTTAACCTCGAGTTTTTGATTTTTGAAACAGTTGAGCTACCATAGTCACAATGAACCTAATCTTGTTAAGATACCAAAGCTCACGAACTGCTTGCGAAAATACGAACTGAAGTTAGAAATAAATTTTGAGCTGGATTTTTGGATGGTGTATATTTTAGAGGTGACATGACAAGTAGTTTTGGCTAAATGTCATCTTCATTGTTAAATAGTTGAACATCTTCTGAACATCTTCACAATGTCTTTTGAAATTAACGAGCCACCCTTTCGCCTTGTCCACCAAACTCTTTGCATCCGGGAGGTCAATTTCGAAAAGCACTCACTCTTCGGTTTTGTAGACATTAATTTAAAAGCGACCAGATTCCCACTGGAGAAAGTGACCTTGAACTGCAGGCACTCCAGATTATACAGAGTTTGTCTCAATGGTTCCAGACAGGTGTCGTTTGACTACAGGGATCCGACTCTTCTGGTATGTCCTGATGATATCAAACAGAGGAACTTGGACTACTTCTGTGGAGCATACATGCAAGCCATTGAAGCTACCAATTTTGACATCGGTTGGTTTATCCTTCTTTAAATTTAATTTGATTTTACATTGCAAGTATTTTCGACCCCAGTTAGAAAAGATGGAAGTTTCAATATTTCATCATTATGCTGAAGGAAATGAAATAAAAAGCTGCAAAAAACTAAGACAGAGCCGTCATGGTTTCACTTTTTATTTCAAATGGGGTAGTAATTCAGTTTTTCAAATATATATCTATATTTATATAAAAATATAAATAAAAATATAAAGTTTTATCTGGTAAGCTTTCCAAGTGGTTCTTTTTCAAAGCTGGATTTTTTAATTTTTTGTTTCAAACAGTTTTTTACTATAATTGAAAGTTGCTCTGTAGTTTGTAAATTTACCAACTCTGATTTTTAATAACTTTTACACTTGCGATCAACTTAGTGTATTATTACGAACCTTCTTTTTCTTCCAACTAACTCGCAAATAAAATGATTCAATAAAAGTGTTAACTTATTTGGAAATTGTCACTGATTGGTGGTTAATAACCTTCCGTGGCTGAGTGGTTAGTGCGTGAGACTTTTAAATTCAAGGGCGCAGGTTCGAATTTTTGTTATTGCCATTTAGAGGGATGCGTGTTTTGTCGTGTTCTCGCAACTGTTTGCGAAGCGAAGCTTCGCCTGTGTAAAAATTTGATTTTTTTCCGGTTAAACGGGTTCGGTTTATGTTATATCGGCTTTGTCAACTGAGTTGCGCAGTTTGAACGGTGAAGTATGTTTTTTTTGTTTCACAGAGATAAAAAAATTTTGTTTCACAGGTCTTAAAAATTATACTTCAAAAATTTTTTCTTGAATGTGTGTGTCTAGTTTCGATTTTGGTTCAACGAGCGTCAACCCAATTTTTTCGCCCTAGTTGCCGTTCGTTCATTGTGTTTCAGTGCTTGTTAATGCTGTTTATGAACATCGTTTGAGACAAGGATATGACTTTCTTCTTTTTCTTTTCAATATCTTGTAATTACACTAGCGGTCAGCTTAGTGTTTTATTACGAACATTCTTTTTCTCTACCCTTTCGCAAATAAAAGTGTTCATTAAAAGTGTTCACTTATTTGGAAAAATTCACTAGCATTGGTGAATGCATAGCATATGTTCTCTGCTTTACTTGTGGCTAGTGTTTGGTGCGTATTAAGCGCCCGTAGCTTAGTATGTATTGCGTGAGAATCTTAATCTCTCGGTCGCAGGATCGCATCTCAGACGTTGTCGATTGTTTTTGCTAATTCGAGGCTTATTTCTAGTGTCTCTATTTGCGTTTTATAGAGATGCTTTTTGTCGTGTTCCTGCTATTGTTTGCCAAGCGAAGTTTAGCCTCTGTGTTCAATATTCTAATTGTATCGCTGGTCAATTTAAGTCGCTGAGTTTCAAGAGTGAATTGTTTATAATGATGTTGCCTAGTCAAGGAAGGTTGGGTAGGTTGTCGTTGTTGTTTTAAGCCCCGAGGAGGGATAGGTCAAAATAAAAAAAATTATAGCTAGAATATTTTATGTGTACAGTTTCGTTTTCGGCATAACAGGGGTTGACCCTAGTTTTTGCGTCTTAGTTGACGCTCGGCCATTGATTCGGTAAGGCTTTTAATGAACATCGTTCAAGAGAGGTATGATAGTTTTGTAGAAACATCTTTTCGGAATTTTTTCACGCTATTTTTTCAGCTTAATTTTGTTGAGGAAAAGACGTCCTTGTTTTTTTTGTCTTTTCGATATCTTGCGATGCATTGTTTTCATTGTATCGCAAGTGTTGCGATGCTCTGCATAGCCTCTCTGTCCACGTGGGTGATTGTTGGAAAAATTTGATTGAACCGATTGCAGACGAAAAGAGTTTGTTTTAGGGAATGGAGAGCTGAGCTTTACAGTACCGTACGATATGCGCGCTGAAGTCGAACGATCTGAAGAATTGGCAGTCAGAATTGAATTTTCATTAGAGTCGAAAAACGCAGGAGTTCACTTCGTCAATTCGCCTTCTTTAGTACCTAAGCAGACCAACAAACCCACTTGTGAAAACAAACAGCGAATTATAAGACATAAACATATGTTTACGTATTATTACGAAAACTGTAATAAGCTGTGGTTCCCACATGTTGACTCGCCTCTAATGCCTTGTACGTGGAGAGTCGAAGTCACGGTTCCAAATGACCTTTTAGCGATATGTTCTGGCGAACTTTTAGACGTCGTTGAATACGAATCGGGTAACCTTTTGACCTTCATTTATCATGTTGACATCCCAGTTTGTGCGAATAAAATCGGAATTGTAGTTGGAGATTTTGAAATGATGCCGGATCAGAAATCGTCGGAGATCACACATTTTTGTTCGCCAGGACTGAGCGCGGCGTTGACCAGCACAGTGGAAAATGTTGTTGATTGTATTGAGTTCCTAGAGCAACATCTAAGTTCGAGATTGCCTTTTCAGCAGTTTAAAACTGTTTTTGTCGAAGAAGCGTTTACGCAGTGTTTGCCGTTCGCAGGAATGTGTATTGGTAGCGTTGCGCTGTTGCACACGGAGAAGATAATAGACCAAGTACCGCATACTTTGAGGAAATTTACTACTCCTATCAGAAGTTTCGCACTGAAAAAATTGATTCTTTTTTTTTTTTTAAATTTTTTTTGTTCAATTCAGTGTCGTTTTTAATAAGTGGTGAGATTCGGGAATTATACGATAGCGTAGATATTAAGTAAGTGAGGCATGATTGACAACATGTGTAAATTTTGTTTCAACATTTTGCACAATATTTCTATTTAAAAAAAAAACTTTTTTGCCAAACAAGCGCTAAATAAAATATCCAAAATAAGTTTTCGTTAAATTGGTTTGATCAACTTTGTTTTATAACATGGATCTAGACCATCTTTGAATTGAAAAGTTAGAAGAACATTTGAAGATGTGATGACTTTAAGAGGACGAGTTGAATATAAATCGAGTAGTAAATTCCACCTCTCACATCTCTTCATCACCGCTTAGGCTTCTGGGGCATGCAATCGCCTCCCAGTTTTTCGGCTGCTTCATTGCATCGGCTAGCTGGAGTGACTCGTGGACTGTCTTCGGAATCAGCAAGTACATCGCTGCCCAGTTTGAGAAGGAGATATTCGGACTGAATGAGTATCTGTACTCTGTCAGGGAAACCATCAGAAAGGTGTTCGTTTCTATTAACTTTTCGGAAAACTCTACGTAAAACGTTACAAATGTTTTAAAACATTGAAAACCTTTAACTTTAATGCTCACAGGAAACGACTGTATTGCCTTTTGCGTAAATTATTGAGCAAAAAAAATCTTTTTTTTTTTAAATGATCTGGATTATCGTTATATCTTGTCTAGATATCTCCAAGGGTCATTTTCAACATTGATATGTGGTTAAGTGTAAGTTAAAATATTTTAATTCTTAGTCTATATATAGGTGTGTGAATATGAAGAAGCGAATGGAGAAATCATCTTGGACAACAGTTTGGCCCTGTCGAATGGTCATAAGAGTGACAACGTGAATGCGTGCAAATTGTATGCCAACCTTATGTCACCCAGCTACGTGGAGATGATGAAACTCAAAGCTTTTCTTGTGGTTAGACTGGTCGGAGAGAATATTGGACCTGAAATACTTACACAGGTAGAAATTCATCATACTTGTTTGCTTCTGGTAGGTGCTAAACGTCCTATTTTTTAGCTAATTAGCTAAGCTAGTTAAGAATTCAAAATTTGCCTGCAAAAAGTGAAAATGGAATCAATAGCTAGTAATAAAGCATAGATACTATGGTTCCAATGAGGGTTTTCTATAAAAATTGTTATATTTTGTAGTTTGATTGCTCTCATTGCCTCAAGTTGTTCAAATGTTTTCGACCATAACTGCAAATCTTTTCTGAATCATTACATTTCAGGTAATCAACAAGATGATATCTCTTGCTATAAATGTCTCCAAACAGGCATGTACTTCCTGGAGCAGCATGCAAATATCGACAAACTCTCTTCTTAACAGCGTCAGTTCCCTCTGCGGAAAAGACTTGAACGAACTCATGAACATGTGGGTCTTCAAAGGAGGCCATCCGCAGTTTACTGTTTCTTTTGATTTCAACCGGAAGCGAAATTGCGTGGAACTGGTTATGAAACAACACGATGTAACCCTGGCTAAGAAAGGTCTAACTCGCTACGTGGGTCCAGTTACAGTTTCAATTCAGGAGCTAGATGGACCTTTTACACACTCTCTAGTTTGCGAAGATCTGGTGTCCAAGCATGACATATCGTGTCATTCGAAGAACAGGAGGATCAAGAAACGCAAGATACCGATGGCGTATGGCGAAGAGATTGATATCGACTTCAAGAATTTAGATCAGGACATGCCAGTCTTGTGGCTGAGGTTCGATCCCCAGATGGAGCTGATTTGTCATGTGAAAATGAATATGCCTGATGTTCTGTGGCAGCTGATGCTTAGGTGAGATCTTAAATTTTTTCTTGAAATGTTTTATTGGAATATAATATATATCTTTTGAATTCAAATTGCCTTTTCCAATGCTTCTTCCATGTTCCAATTGATTTGTTTTTTTTTGAAGTTTTAAGTATTTTTTTCTGAAAAAATTGTTGATACTTCTAGGTACGAAAGAGTTGCTTTAGCGCAATTTGATGCAGTCGAAAACTTGAAGAAATTCGAGAGCCCAGAAAGTCGACAAGCTCTCGTTTTCACAATCGAACAAGTCAACTTTTTCTACCGAGTTCGAATAGCTGCATTCGAGTCCCTAGTTTTCATGGCAACTAAATGTGCGGCAACATGGCAAGCTACTCAAATGTTAATTGATATTGGGCGTAGTATGTTTTCATCGGGCGCGTGCAATGACATAGTGCAAAGCAATGATTTCACGAACTTGGAAGAATACTTCATGCAAAAAGAGTTTATAAAATCTCTTGGCAATTACAGAAACGTGCAGAAATTCTGCCCCGATGAAATTGTTTCATTTATCTTGAGCTGGCTTAAGTTCAATGATAATAGAAGAAACGCATACTCGGATGCAATGTACAAGGCTAATTTGATTGATGCACTCTCCGAGACAATTTCGCCCAGCACGACCATTGTAACTTCGCCCGATATGCTAACACCAGGTGCGTTTTGCGTAGATTTGAATTTATGGTTTTCATTGAGACTTCGTCAAAGATATCAAGTCCCGGCAAATAAAAGTTGCACTTTTTTGTCGATTTTCTGATTTTCAAGAGTTTAAGGCGATTGTTTTTGACTTTCATGGCTTCAAGCTTTTTTTGTTAAGGATGATGCTAATTTGTTACAGAAATGAAGCTGATCGTGGAAGAACTAGTCCGGTATCTCAACATAGACAAACTGGTCCCCTCCTACAAACTATCGGTGACAGTCAGTTGTTTGAAAGCAATGAGGAATCTACAGAGGAACGGACACATTCCAAATGACCCCACCCTGTTCAAGAGCTACTGCAGTGAACACCAGTTTGTAGATGTGAGACTGGCGGCGATTGAATCGCTGATTGATTTCACGAGGGACGATGCCAACAGCTATATTCTGTCGTTCTTGTTGGATATCATTGAAAATGGTACGCAATCTTCTACCTTGAGTCTGTCGATTGAAATGAAAAGAGCTGTAATTTTAAGATATATTAGATTGACTGACTATGTTATGATGAAGGGTTCATCTTTCGACAGTCTAATAGCGATTACAACATTCAACTGTAGAAGTTCTTGCTTCTATGCTTGATTATATTCTGTTTCGATGATACATAACAGTTTCGGTGGCAGATTCAGGTTAAATAGCTGGATCGCTCTTTGTTATAACTTTGGAACAGTTATTGATTTTCCGGGTTGATTTTTATCCATGAAATAAGCAAGGGTATTACAATCGGGTACTAGACTTTTTTCCCGTAAACAACCTTGTCCACAAAATCTTCACTTCTTATAGAGGATCTTCACTTCTACAGGATCTTTCAAATTTAAATAAAGCTAATATCACTTAAGTAGAAATTAGTTCAAGCCGGTTTCCTTTCTAATTATCTTTGCTATAATTTTTAAAATTAATATTTTCTAATTGCTATAAGTTCTAAAATGTCCTATATTTTTTTGGGCTCGTGGTTTTCGTCCTAGTTTCTTTCGGCTCATTTTCCGTTTTTTAACGCTTTTTTTTCTATCTGATAGGTTTTTAGTGGTTTAATTTTTAAAGCATGGCTTCTGTTCCAATGTAAACCGTTTTTACTATAACTGAGTTTCACAAATTTACCCCATGTCTGATTTTTTTTTTTTCATTTTTTTTACTTATTCAAACAGTTTCAGTTTATGTTATATCGACTTTGTCAATTTATTTTGCGTTATTTCGAGGTTTGGTTTTCCGCTCAACAGGTCTCGACCCAAAGTTTCTCGTCTTCGTTGCCACTCGGTAATTTCTTTCTAGTTTTTAGGGGCTGTTAATGAACTTCAACCGATACAAAATTTTTCAAATAATTTTTTTCAACTTCAGAACTTCTTTTGACTTGTCTTTTTTTCATTCACTGTTTTGTACCGCAATGTGTGATTTGCATCGCAAGTCTATGTTTAAATTACCCTTCACCTTTTCTAATATTGATGATTTTTTTGCCTCAGATCGGGATGTGTATGTGCGACACTGTACTCTGCAGATGTTGTGTGCCAGTCCACCCTTCAACCGAGCGGATGCCAACCCACTTAACACGGAAAGCACCGTAGACAGATTGTGGACCCTTGTCAATAAAATCGCAGTAGGAGGTGTGTCTTTTCTTATTTTACCAGCGTTAATGACAGTATTTGATGTGATTTTGAATAAATTTGCTGAGTAAAACAAAAATTGCACAATACATCTCGATTTTTGAAAGAAACGCAATTAATGGTAGTCGAAATATAATTATAAGGGTAGCTGTTTTATTGCTGAAATTGCGTCGAACTCAATCGTAATTTTTTTCCTACTCTAGACTCGAGATTGAGATGCAGTGCAATAGAATTCTACCATGCTCTTTACGGCAGAGGGAGACCGTACTGTCTGCCCAAGCCACAGCTAGGTGTGGTTGTAAATCTACGCGAGAAGAGAGCTGATGTCACAAGAGGAGAAATGCCACAGTTGACAGGTATGGATCAACATGACCATGACATGGACCAGTCTATGGATACTTCGATCGAGTCGCTGAATGTAACTGTAACAAGCAGTGAGCAATCTCAAACGACACACGGACACAGAGGTGATTCTAGGTTAGTGATGGTGTTTTCATATACTTTTCGTATGTTGCGTAACAGAAACAGAACCATTAAAAATCTAATTTGAATACTTATTTATTCGATAGGAATGTTTCGCTCAATCCATCTGCTTCTTTCAATCCTTTTCCAACCGAAGAGGAAGATGAGTCAGACCTAAGAATACAAACCCTAGACGTACATGCTTCAGGCAGAGCAGACTTAGATGAAGACAGTCAGTTCTTCGCCACTAATCCAAACATCGAAAATGTCACTGACGAGGAGTTTCTTTCCAACCGAGAGCCAATGTACCTCCCACCTTTCTCCGCTTCCTCGAGTAGCTCGACAAAAGGAGGCAAAAAGAGGAATAAAAAGGAAAAAGAGAAGAAACGCGGTCGCAAGAAAAAAGACGCGGACAGTGTTGCTAGTGATAGAAAAAGTGCAAATTTTAGACTTTCGCCACCCAGTAGTGACGATTCTGATTGATTTTATAATCTTCAAACTCAATAGAAACTTTGTTCTTATGTTGAAATTTGCGTTATGAAATATATTTAATAAATTAGTTTCAGGTCTGATCGAAGAAGAAAAAATAATTGTTTCAACTAGGATCTTGATATTTATAACTTTGAGTTTGCTTGTTTGTAAATCTTTATTTTGTTGCAGATTTGAATGTGTGATTCTTGGCATTGAGAAAACAAAATAATTATGTCTGTATTACGTAATCTGACTCGTAATTACACAATTGCCTCAACTTTTCTCATCCCTCTAAGAGCATGCTCAACATCAGCGCTCTCCAGCGAACTACGACAGAGGTTGTCTGATATGGTTGCAGCGAAAGATATAGTAATTTTCATGAAAGGAGTGCCTACGGCGCCTCAGTGTGGTTTCAGTAATGCTGTCGTACAGATTTTAAAGATGCACGGAGTTGAGGATTACAATGCGCATAATGTTCTGGAAGAAAATGAAATCAGAGAAGTACGTTTGAAACGATTTTGTTATAGTCCCGACCACTGTAAGTGTGGAGGACTGTCTTCGGTGCTTCAGTTTTTTGTACTTTTTTTCTTTGTTTTACACTCTAAATCACGATACACTCTAAATCACGATTGTGAGTTGTCATTCGAACGGCATCAGGAAATTTCAAGAAGCTTCGATTTTTGGTCTAATTTTCTATGGGCAAATAAAGCGAGGGAGCAGGCTAAAAATAGGAGGATAAGCTTTTGTTTGAGCCGTGAAAATTTACCACAGGAAAATTACCCTTCGAAATTTTTAGCGCTTTGCTTGAAATAAATAGTTTGAGAAAAGAATTTAGTTTTTTTTGTGTTGATTTTTTGGTGTTGATTTTTTGTTTTGCTATCAATTTTTGGGCAAAAACTGCGTCGAATATACCGAATTTACTGTGAAAATCGAATATGTCTTAAGTTCTAGGTTTTCTTTCAGATCTTCTCTCCACTACGGACAAACGAGAAAACTATATGGAAAAATAGACACAGTTTTTTTGTTTCCGTTTTTTTAAGAGTAATATAGGTCTTGCTGATTTTTGTTGTCTTAAATCAAGAAATTTGTTAACGCTCAATTTTGAATTTTCGGGGTTTGACTTGTGATTTCATTTTAATTTCAGTGCATTTCTATTGTTAAATGGAAGGTAAACTCCCCTATCGAACAAAAAACGAGTAAAGGCCACAAAAAACGTGATTGACTTCAAATTTCCAAAATGGAATTTAATTTTATGATTTCCCAGTGGAATAAAAGTTTTACCTATTGATCCAGTTTTCTCAAATTGGGTTAGTTTCAACAGAAAATTGTCTATCATAAATTGTTCTGCAATTTATGCTAATTCAAAGAGCTTTAAGGCCATCTAATTTTTAATTCGAAATACAAAATTGAAGATTTTTGAGAGAAAAAAAAACAAGTCGGTTTTTTTTTCAGTTTCCTTGCGTTCATTACTATTTTTCAACTGTCAGTTGGCTATGTTTATGATTGTGCAACTGACTATCCTTGCTACATCAGCATTTGGTTTTTACTAGAGTTTCAAATCTGTAGAATAAAACATTGTTTCTATGTGATGTCAGATGTTTTTGTTTGAGTTGCTCAAAGCCTCTTCAAATCAGCAGCTCATGTTTTTTTTTCAGTGAAGGTGGTTTTTGTTAGTTTTTTCTTCTGTTGATTCAATCGTTACAGCAGCTTTTTTTGGTGTTCAAAACATTATTTTAACTGAAACGATAATGTAAATTGTAAAGTTTGCTGTAGCTATGTTTTTATCAGCTACTTAAAAAAGTTTATAGTTATGTTTTTTAATTTTTTTCTGGCTGAATAATCAATTATCATTGTTTCGCAGTTATTTATTTTGTTCAATACTTGGTTTTTTTAGTTTATTTGTGGGGAGCGGCGGTGAAGTGGCTACGCCTCCTCCTGCAATTTAGCTCAATCGAAAGGTCGGATGTTCGAGGCCCACAATGATCCGTGCTTGTTGCTTGAGGGTGAGGCAACTTTATCCAGCCTAGAAAAGAAAAGAAAAAAATTTCAAGTAGGTCTTAGCAGGCGCACAACAGCGGTTTGCCGTGATGAGTTGTACAGCTCGTCTGTTGGTCCTTTTCTCCGTGGATAAATGGTCTTTAAAATGGAGGGCAAATTTTACTATCTTTTAACACAATTTACGATAGCTTGAAAATTTTGGCTCGCTCTTTAATTGTATTTCATTTTTTAGCGTATTTGGTTTTTAATTTTGGTGACCAAAAGTAGATTGTTTTAGATTCTCAGTGGAAATAAAAACGGAATTCTCTAGTTTTCCCGAGCTATTTTGATTTAAAACGTGTCAACCGAAAAGATTTTAGTAATTCAAAGATTCTGCAGATTTCCTTAACGTTTTTTAATCTGTCTATGTTTCTTTGCTGAATTTTCGACGATTTTTTTTCCTTAAGCTTGTAGGGACCTATTAGCCTCTTTTTGCATTCTCCTCGAATTTTTCTGCGATCGAGTGTGGCTGTCGTTCAAAGCGCCTAGTTTCATATCAGAAACAAGGATAGCCGGTTGCTGTGAAAATAGCACTATGTTTTGACAATCTTTATCGTTGCAAAAAAATCAACTCCTAAAAAAATCTAATTTCTTTTGAGTGGATGTGAGTGGAAAATAAGGGCGTCGTTAAAAGGAAATAGTTTCATAAGGATTCTGACGACGAGTTTTTTTTCGACTTTGATACAAATTTTGGTATCCGAATCCTATTTTTTGTATTATTATCCCAATCACCACCAATAGGGCTCCAGTATTATTATATTAAACTTGGTTTCATATTAGCTTTGTTTGAGTTTGTCAAAGTCAGCCGGAAAAATTACCCTTCGCCATATTTCCTTCCCACTTCGTTCAGCTGCTAGAGGCTTTTCTTTTCAATTCTTTCTGTTCCTGAACAGCCCTCTGCTATGCCTCTTTTATCAGACATTTCAATGATTGACAATAATTGATTTCAGGGCGTGAAATCTTTTTCAAACTGGCCAACCATCCCACAAGTCTACTTTAAAGGAGAGTTTATTGGAGGATGTGACGTTCTTCTTCAGATGCATCAATCGGGCGATATTGTGGAGGAACTTCAAAAACTGGGCATCAAATCTAAACTTTTAACGCAAGCAGAAAATGAAGCGAAGAAAGACTGAATAACTAAAAGCATCCACCCTTTCCTTGCCTATAAACTGAATGTAAAATATTTTTTATTGGACTTTTTATGAACAGTGGAAACCTACTACAATAATTATGAACCTTGAATTTTCAGTCCTAAGGTCATTTTTTCTTCAGATGTCTATGTTCGCATCATTTGTCTGGGCCTGAGGTTATATAGACCACAGTGGATGAAATGTGACCTTGTATTACAGAGCCATTAAAATTTCCAAATTGTTGGTGCTATCTTGGTACCTAAAACCGCCACTCGGGATCATTAAAATGGATTGGTTGGATGTATGTTTCTTATGCCTTTTGGGTTTTCTCCTGCTGTGGTTCTTCGAGAAACTCTGCGTGTGGGGAACTTATTTTGTCTCTAGAGGAAAAATTACAATTGATAAAATCAATTTGAGAGGAGTTCATAATGTTCAAATTACACTCAAATCGTTACACCTTGTTGCCAATCATATCACGATAAGTTACAGAAAGCGTACGTTTATCTTCATTATCGATGGTTTAAACATCACTTATCATCCGTTAATAGCTGCCACCTCTGTAAAGAAATTGAAAGCAGGGTCCAAAAACCCACAAGAATTGCGCAATGTTTATTTACCTTCAGCTTTGTATTATATTTTCAAATTCATTCAGTTCGAAATTACTAATATTAAAATATCACATATTGCTCGCTCAATTACTGTTAATCTGCAACATGTCATTTTGAGAGAAGAGAAAAATGAAAGTCCCCCCAACAATTGGTTTAAAATTGTGTTCACAATTCGATCGATTAGAATCTCGAAAATCGTGGCTGCATGTTCGGATCCTACAAACGTTTTCACGTGTTTCGAATTGTCCCTTTTGTCAATTTTTGACAAGGAGTGCTTCTCATTTTCCACGAAATATAAATTATCTTCAATGAATTTTGATATCAAGGAGCCTTTAATTAGTCTAAATAGTATCTTAAATGTCAAAAGCGAAGCTTCATTGTATAACTCCAATGGCTTGAAGCCCAAATTTAAACTCTCACCAGAATTGTTAATCGCATTTTTTCATCATAACTTTATCAGACAATTGTGTAAGACGTCAAAACTGCCCCCTGTTGTTACCTTTAACATTCATTGCTTCAAATTGGAAGATATTTTCCCAGATATTGAAAGTTCTCTCTGTACGTTCTCGTACATGCAAGCAACGGTTACTATTATTGACAAGCAAACTATCCACTGCAACTGTGTAATTCCACAGTTTGAGTGCCATTTTGTGGAGAAAAGCGTGAGCACGTTGCTAATTCAGAGTTTCAATTTGATCTTAGACTTGAAACCGCGTTCAGTGTCGGCACGACTTGGTTTCGCGGAATTAGACTCGCAACTCCATATACACCCGGACGAAGATTCGATTCCACTTATAGACTTAATCCCGGTTTCTCTCGAGTGTTCGCACTCAATGGAAGTTTCAGCTGAAATTTCTATTTCAGAAAAGAGTTATACCTTGTTAGATCCTTGTAATAAATATTCGAAGCAAGAGTTCCAGAATCTGGACTTAGATACGAAATTAAGTTTTGAAGGGTTCATAAGTGACTTCAATGTTACTACTTACGGTTCGTCGGAGAGTTCGCCCCATTTTTGCCTTAAAGAGTTTCGATTTTTACTCAATGGGGGTGGTTTTCATTTCACTTACTGTTTGTACATCGATGTGATCAAAATATGCAGTGCTCCGTTTGTCATCGACGCTTTCGTTCAAAGTGTGAAACGACTCATCCCTCGGAAGAGATCGGCCTCCAATGTGAGTTTGATGCGAAATGGATCTTTTAAAGGCGCTGGAGATGAAGAACAAACAAAGGCTGAATCCGAAAAATCTGACTCTCACAGAAAGCTGAAATTCGATAATGAAATAACGTCGATTAATGTAATGAAGTGTATGTTTTTGTCTGACCCAGATCCTGGGATTAGGAAAGTTCATAAGGTATCTTTAACAATTACAGAAATTTCTAGAGGTTTCGTGGACTTCGCTGAGTTTAAATTTGCAAATCTTTGCTTGTCCGTTCATCATGACGATCGTGTTGTGAATTTGGCGAATGTGTATCATTTTTCGCTAAAGGAAATTGCATGTCCATGGAAATCAATCGATGTGAAGCTGCGAAATTTTAATTCAGAATGGGAACCGAGCTCTCATATGACAGTATACACCATGGTCAAATGTTACGCATCCCTGAAAAACTCTTTGAAAAGATCGCCCAGTAAAGTATACAAAAACAAACAAAAGCAAGAAACTGGATCACGTGAACAACTTGTAGCGTGGAAAGTTGACTCCAAAATGAGAAAATTGCCACTGATTTCGGTGACATGTAAGACGTTTGGAATACACGCGAAGACTTTGGATCCAAGTGAAGAACAAATAGTCGGAGAGTCTTTTTCGAATACTTTTGAGCTGACGGCGCTGCAATTTTCAGTCTCACCCTCATCTTTGTGTATAAAATGTTCATCGTTTAACGTTTTTTGCGATACAAATAAGATCCGAAATTTGAAATCAAAGTCGAATTTGCTGAACACAATGGATCCGAAAACTCATGTCGATAAAGTGCAAACGTCTCAGGTAGATCCGATTTTCACGTTTTCCGAGTTCTTTCTCCAGTATTCTACAATTTCGTCCGCTTCTACCGTTGATAGAGAAAAATTTAGTCTGTCAACTAAAAACCATGTCATTACCCTAGACGTTGACGAATGCCAAATAAAGTTTCCGAGTGGATATGTTTTTCATAAAAACTTCTCGCAGCTAACATTGGCTCGAAAATGGTTGAAAGCATTACATTATCCGTCATCAAGCAGTAACCCGACTTCTAGCAATGAGTCACCGGTAAACGGTCCAGTCAACTCGGAGTCCAACCCTCCTATTAAAGGTAAATCAAAGTTCGTGTGGCCAGACTTCAATTTTACCTTGAAGTCGTTCAAGATGTCAATCGATGATAGTGTATTCGAGAAACGCCTCAGTGAAAATTACAGGTTGCTTCTTGATGAACAAATCGAACAAATGGATCGAATGTCATATTTCGAAAAGCGTTGGCAAGAGGCTTGTCTAAGTAACCCCCCGGAGTTATGCACAGATGAGGTGTATGAAATGAAAAAGCAACAGTTGCTTGAAATGAACAGCAAGTGTTACATCGATAGATGGAAAAGTTCACGTGATTATTTCAAAGGAGATCAAAACTTGGTTTGTATGACCATGAAAAACTGGCAGATACTATGCTTCGCCGACGAAGAAATGACAGGGCGTGATAACATTATACGACACATGAACGAGTTAGACGGAACGACGACAGTTCCTGAAAGCATCCAATTTAGTGCCCAAGCTTGTCGATTAGTTTCAGTCAGCTCAGATTTGTTTGAAATAAAAATCCGAGACTACCCAGATCCAATGTATACAGTTGCAAATGGAAACATTTCGGGAAAATTTTTAGTAGCTATTCCGCGACCCGAAAATTCATTTTCTTTCACAGACTATTCCCTTGGTAATCAATTTGAAGCAGCTAGGTTGAAGAGAAATCCTGGAAGTCAGAAATGGTTTCATAACCTCACCATGACCTCTGATGCAGTGACCTTTAATTGGGGTCAAAATCGTGATCCGGGTTGGAATGAAGTTAGCCATGGAATGTCTTTGATCAACAAACCCTCCGCTGATCCGAGCCCATCATTGCCTTTTTGGGACAAAGCACGCCTTAAATGCCAAGGAAAATTCCATTGTTATTACAAGTCACTTGAAATTACGTGGCTGTGTACGTTAGACCCTTACAAACAGTCGGAGAAACTAAGACTCCTGTGGAACAACGTATGTTACGACTGGGTTCCGAATAATCAGATTTTATCAGGAGATCTGAAAGTGGTTATTCAAACGTGCAGCAAGGCGCCATTAACCTTTATACATGCACCTAGAACCAAGATGTCATGGAACTTTGTGTATCATTGTTTGGGGAACCCGTATGCCCATCATGCTGTTATGTTCAAGCCTCAAAATATTTACTTAGATGACTACGACACCTACTCAAGATTCAGGTAATGATGTTCATGGAACGCGGTGTTGTTGCCGAAACATTTTGGCAACCACAATTTGTGGGCTTGAAAATTAACTGTCTCGAAAATCTCGTTTAGATCACAGAGCTTTGATGTTACCTTCTCAATTTCAATTCGACCCTCTACTGGAGGTGAGCCAATGACTGCAGTGAATGATGAAGCGCTGTTGACGAGTGACTTGCCTTCAGGCACTGCCAAAATTGACATGTTCAGCTCAACTTTCAACTGGTGCCACCAATTTGGAAAGCTTTTGGGGTACGCAGTTTTGAAGTGTAGTAGTCCTGATGTATATCAAATATTGATCGCGCAATAATTTAAAATCACTTTTGTTGGACTGAGTTATTGCTAGAAGAAAATCATTGCTCCCTAGGCTGGCAGAAAGGCTTGGCAAGGTTTTTTCGGAAAGATATTGAATCGTTTTTTTAGTTCCCGTAAATGTTAGCCCTCGAATTGCTTTGGTTCCATGTAGTTCATTGTTTTCTAGGACGACTGGCCGTCCCATTAAAAGAGGAGCATACTACAAAAATGTCAGAACCAAAAAGAAAGCCTCTCTGATGCGACATTTCCGTAACCTAGTGACCAAGTTCGACACTCCTGCCATCACCTACAATTACAGGGTGAGCGAAAAGCGAAACAGAGGAGTGACGTGTTACTTCTCGAGTGATTCACGATTGAAAACAGAGCAAAGTTTGTATCTGGAACCTCACAATGACAGACTAATCAGACGACCGGCAACACGATGGGTCACGAGGTCGTTGATATTTGACCTCAACAATGTCTACATCTTCGTCATATCTGATAACTCAGAGACAGAAGATCAGTCATCATTGATGGATATTTATATCAGGGATAAACGTAACACTGAGCCGCCGCGTAAGCTCCATTTCATGTCAATTCAGAGCTTGTCGTACCAGAAAACGGAAATCACGCCGAATACAGTTCGCTCCAGTAATGACTCGGTTGCAGAAGAAATCGTGTACTTGACGCCCATGCATTCTTTGACAGCATCAGGCGTGCATGCTACTTGGAGCAGACGGAACCGGGCGATTATAATGCGACTTTACGACCAGTACTCTTTCAACAAAAGTTTGAGGCAGAATTTGTCATCAGATGCTTTGAAGCCAATTGTAGTTGTAAACACCGAAGACCCGAAATCCAAATGGGACAGGCGGAAGAGTGTATTGCAGCATCCGATTCACAAAATATCCTCAATAGGAACCAGTTCAGAAGAGCTTGATAATTCTGAAGCATCCATAACCGCATCGACGCCATGTAAACAGCAAAATCCGTTCGCAGATCCTTTGTACGAGATCCTCGTGAAAGATATTGACAGCAAACGGTTCTTCGGGTTTAATGAAGAGAAATATATACCCGAAGATGACGAGGATGACAAGATTTCACTGTCAGATGTCAATCAACATAGCTTAAAAGTAGCGATATCCGACATGCAATTGAAGCTTCTCGGTTTCGACACCCCAGGTCTGGTAATAGTGACAGCTTCCGACGCCCAAATTGACAGGTATCAGCACGAGTCCATTTGGTATGAAGACAAACTATACAGTAAGAACTCGCTGATTGTTTCTCTTAATGATATGCAGTATTTTTCCACATTGAGTTATAACGACTTAGTAGCTTGCGAAGAAAACGACGAAACGGTATCGTGGTTGCCTTTGACTGTTGTGAACATTGAGTCGCAGAATCTTTCGAAATCAATGGACGAACAGTCATTCCAAGAGGAAGTCTTGACAGAGGCAATAGGTGCTCTTGTGTCATCTTGTGGATCTTATCGGCTCCAGAGAATCATTAGCAGATGTTGCTGTAATGTCTCTTTAGTAACTGTTAACTCACTCTCAGAAAACGAAAATATGCCTATATACAATGTGCCTTCAAAACAACAAGTGTCCAAAAAAGCGCCAGTTTCGTTATTCAGACTTCATCATAATGATCTATGCATTAGCACTAACTCGTTTCAGTACAGCTTAGTGCTTGACATAGTGAATAACTTAATTTTATACCAAGAAAAATCGAAGAAGATTTCAATTGAAAATCTTAAAATTTTGAGACTTTCAATGCAAGTTAGAGAGTTCGCCGAATTGAAGCTGGCAATTATAAATATTCAGAAACATTTGAGAGAAGGGAATTTTGCTCTGAAAACATTGAAACGCGATAGAGCAGCGGTCGAAGGTAAATTGCAGTCACTTCAAAATTTAGTAGCTTCAAAGTTAGGTTCGGAAATCGACTCGGAAGGCTCACAAAGAATCGAAGAAGAAATTACTCATTGGAGAAAATACGCTTTCGCTCAAGAAGAATCAGTTGAATCTAAGAAAAAAGAATTAGAAGCTTCAGCTCAGAGATTACAGTTAGCGCTGACCTGTTACAAAGAATTGCAGCTTAAGAGTAAAATCCAACTACCATCAAATGATGAAAAACCAGCTGCTGCGAACAAAAAGGAAATCATATTCGCCAAAGCGAAGTGGAGCTTAACTGAAGTTGATGGTCAAATAGGTTTCGCCGATGTTTGCCTGACAAACTTCAAGTATACAAAAATTGCGAGCAGTGATGACAGCCTGGATCACCGTGTCGCTTTAGAAGATGTCGAAGTTAAAAATCTAATCAATAACGACCATTTTGTGGACATTTTACAAACTCATGAAAAGAATGCTAGAAATATGGCAAGTAGTAGTAGCGAATCTTCTATTCAAAACGAAGGTGATGAGCTGAGCCCGGACAATGACAGAGGGATGATTCTAGTTGTCCAGATGAGAGAAAAGCCAGCTGTCGGCGGAATCCAAATCCGCGAACTACTGGATATAAAAATTGCGACATTAAATATTCACTTGACAGAAGCGTTTTGGAAGACTATGAAGCAGTTTTTGTTCCCGGTGGAATCGAAGCGAAAACAGGAGGAGGAAGAATTGCATCAGATGAGGCTCTTGACGACTGCTTTGCCACACGACAAGGCAGGAAGCAAGTTGACCTTGCATAAGTCGGGAAGCAGTTCATACTCGTTGAGTTCGGCACTGGCTTCGAAGAACAAGAAAAAGAAGGTACAAAAACATTTGAAAATGAAATGGATATTGTTAAATATTTATTTGAACTTCTCTCAATAATCAAACCAAATGGATTCAATTTACGTCGATTGTTTCAGCAATATTTTTAGTGCTTGAAGTTTTCTGTAGTCTGCTGGCTAGAGTAGTTTTGACAAAATATGCCGAAATGGCTCTTTTTTAGTTCTTTTAATGAAAAAGGATAGTGACAAGAAAGTTTTCCCCTCTTATTTATTATACTGGCGCTAAATGAACTGTTAGCAAATATTGGGATCTGATCGACCAAAAATGAAATAAGTTTAAAAATTTAAGTTTCTGTGTGCTGTTTTATTTCGTTGCCATATTTGTAAAAAGTCTCAACTTGGAGCTCATTTGATACGTCTTTTTAGGTTAAAAAAGAAGCGAAAGACAGGGACTTTGAGAAGTTATACAGCAGTCACGCAGGCCATGAGTCAATAGATTTAGCTTTTGAAAGAGCGGCGAGGAATTGTTTGTTTGTGGTGATTCGCATCCGGGAGGTACCTATCTATGTGACTTACAGAGGCGACAAGAAAAAGAACATAGAAGACATTCACAACATGCACATCGTGTTGCCTCGAGTGGAGATACATAACATGACTATGACCTGGAGAGATCTGCTCAACCATGTGAGGCGTGAAGTGACGAAGACCATTGTAAAAGGTAAAGATAGTTTTTGTAACTTCGGACCGCCAGTCTGATTTGAACTCCTCGTACATGTTGGATTAATTTGTTTCAACTACCGTATAAGTTTGGGAAACAAAACTGTTCTTTCGAGAGCCAAAAATTGCCTGTGAAAAACCACAGCTAGCTTCTGTACTCCTTGCTTCTTCGAAAGTCAAAACAAAAAAAATAAATACTAGTTTTCTGCTTTACAGCTTTTGAATGATCCAATGACTAACATGATGGTTTATTAACAAAAACCATGAAAGAACAGATACTGAACATACATATTCTTGTAGTTATGAAACCTAAAAGCTCATAATCTACTATCTCTAACACGGGGTGTGTTAGAGATAGTAGATTATCAGCTTTTAGGTTTCATAACTACAAGAATATGTATGTTCAGTATCTGTTGTTTCATGGTTTTTGTTAATAAACCATCATGTTACAGTTATTGGATCATTCAAAAGCTGTCTAGCAGAAAACTAGTATTTATTTTTTTGTTTTGACTTTCGAAGAAGCAAGGAGTACAGAAGCTATCTGTGGTTTTTCACAGGCAATTTTCGGCTCTCGAAAGAACAGTTTTTAATGGTATTAGTGATACAACCCTGATAATATTGATACCATGGCTTTCAAATTAAAAAGACTAGAATTCAATTACGTTTTTCGCGACCTTTACACATTTGCTGATCGATAGTGGAGTCCTCACTATTTCATCGACTCTTAAAAAAAAGAGGAAAATTTCTGATCCACTGCAGTGAGCAGACAATTTTCAAAGAGCACCAAGTTTTCACATCAGTCATGATAAATGGGAGGACAAGAAAAAAAAACCTTTTCTTTAGAAAAATTGTGGGGTTTCAGTCAAGCAAACTCGTCACAAAAATTTTTGCGAAGACCATCGCAAAATTGCTGAAGCAAAATCCAAAAGAAGATTACAAATTGCGAGTTACTAAATTGCATTTATGAATGCACTTAGGAATATATGCACTTTCATCTGATGAAAGTGACGTAAATAGCACTCTCCAAATACGAACGTGGAACTGGAGCAAAAAAGCGCCAATCATAAAATCGATCTAGAAATTCAAAGAGCTTAAAGGGGATCTATTTTTTTCTTTGAAATTCGAAAGTTGAGATTTTTTCAACTAAGTCAGTAATTTTTTTTGTTAACTTGCATTCATTACTCTTTTACAATCTTTGATTGGCTATGTTTGTATTTGAAAAAAGTTGAAGTTCTGCATAAGAGGCTTTTCCCACATTTAAGAAGATAAACTTAATGGATTTTGAAAAAGTCAAATTTTTGATTTTTTTATAGTTTTTTTAATCTTCTTTTTTTTCGAAAACTACCTTGCCAAATCTGAGATAAAGAATTCAATTGAAAGGGCGCGTAATAGTTTTCTCCTTCAAATAAGCAGAGAATTAACTGGGGTAATGCGTAAAATCAGTTTTTTTAGGTATGAAAATTACGCATTTCCGTATCAGTACAATATATGATAAAAATATTAAAAGAGGTACATCCAGCTTTAGATGTACATCCAGTTTTTTTCCTTGAGTTTTGCAACTTTATTGGAGTCAGTAAGTATTAGTAAAATTACAAGCGGTCGTGGAGCAGATGTGAAAACGTGATGCTCCTTGTCTCGAATTTGACATTCAAAATTTTTTCTCAAGGTGTATTTTTAATCTTTTACTTTTCCTTTTTTCACTTTGTTTTGCCTGTTTAGAGCTCATTTTTGCATGTTCCTCACTTTTGTTTGCGAACGCAACTTCGTCTCTGTGTAAACAATAGTAAACAATAGTTTGATGACAAACATTACTAATCATCATCGCAATATGAATCATAGTAGTTAATAATCATAGTAATAAAAAAATCATAATAATATCAAGGATAGCTGTTTAACGAGTAGCACAGAACAAGTAGCACCATAGCCTTCAACAAAAAATAAAAAAAAGTTTTGTCAAATTAGGGTCTTTTTTCTGCGTGGTGTGGTAAAAGCATCGCAACGAAAAAAAATAGAACTTAGGCATGCTCGACAGTCATTGTAAAGTAGGTCATATGGAAAACAGTCTTTGTAGGAAATGGACAAGAAGAACGAAAACTAAATTGTAAAAAAAATTTAAAAACACTTTTTTTAAAATACTTTTAAGTTTTTGATTCCCAAATTTTCGCTAAAAACTTATAGCGCTAATTCCCAAAAGGGCGCTGATTCCCACAATAGCGCTAGTGTTACTTGAGTAAATCTAAAAGTTCACAGCTTAAATTAAGCATGAATAAACTATAGTTTAATCCTGCGCGCTCACCTTCTTAGCGCAAAATATTATTAAAATTTTCCAACCGGTTTTTCTCGGCACAGAGATAATTTCATTATGTCGTTCGAATCACGACTGAATATGCTTTCATGTGATATATCACTCAACCCATTCCGATGATTTTTTGTGGTATCTGCGTGGAAAACAAAAAAAATAAAATACCCGGATACATATTTTCTCCCATTTTTCAAATGGTCGGAACATTAAATACAACAATAATCATTGCGGTTGAGATCAGCACGTGGTATCAAACCGGAATATAGATTTTTTTTCCGGGTTAACAACTTGTTTAACAGGATCACTCGAATCACTTGTATCTTGGTTCATAATGAATTCAAACTTCTATGCGTTACCGGCCTACTGAGCCTGCAGGTAACAAATATGCCTGGGACGTCCAAGCTCCTGGTTTCGGATCTGACTTGAACCTGTTTTTCTTTCAAACGGGAAATTTGCTGCTTTTAATCAAATTGTCGGCGAATTTTTTGTCTATTTAGCTGTTGTCGGCTTAGTTGTTACATCTTGGAATCGTTTTTTGCGGGGCACATTTTTCTTTAATGTTGCTCGTGTTTGGTTTACTTGTACAATGTGTTTTTACTTACCTTGATTTCGTATTTCCTTTGTTTTTTCTCGGCCCGTATCATTTCGGCCTATTTTTTTATCGGTTTAATGACGTAATGATATGGTCGAGAAAACAAAATTGAAAAAGTCCTAAAGGCCATACCGCAAAAACCGAAAGGATTTGAGCAATAAAGTTTGGAGGCCAGATTAACCAGAAATGAATGGACCCCGAGCTAAAGGTAAACAATAATGAGCTTTCAGGTTTCATAACCACAAGAATATGTAAGCTCAGTTACCGTTTTTCACTATTTTTTAATTATAAGAAAATTATATTACAGTCATAAGTCTTTTAAAAGCTGTATGTAAAACATAAATTTCTGATTTTGTTTTATGTTCCGACCTTCGAAAAAATAAGGAATACTGAAGCTAGGTGTGGTTCCTCCAAGTTTCCCCATTGTTTGAATCTCGAAATAACGATTATATTGATACCTTGGCCTGAAAGTTAAAAAGATTTTTCGTTGCTATTGTTATGTCGTAATGTTTGGGGGCTAAAAATTTTTTACATTTAGCACTCATATGTCCCTTTTTTGTGAAAATAGGAATCCCGGTCATTGAAAGTTAGCCAGGTGCTTAATGAGACCTTTCAGCCTGAAACTTCCCAATCAAAAAGATAAAGAAAAGCAATGCAGAAATCAGTGGCCTTAAATCACTTTTGATTACACTAGACAGTGTAATTTTGGTGTGCAACTTTTGGTTGTATTGTTTCTGATATCTTCTTGTTAATCTCCCCAAAATTAGCTATAAATCTTGAAGTTTTCAACGAAAAAGCCCAAGGTTCTCTTTAGATAGTTACACCTTAACGCTATGACAGGCATTGTTGGAATCGAGATTCTTCGAAAAATTTGTTAAAAATGTACGAAGCCGAGCATCGTCTCGTTTCGCTATCAATTCAGCTGGTTTTTAATCGGGATTATTCAGATATAGTTTTGTAAAGAACTATTGAACTGTTGTAAAGAATTATTGATTTTTGGGGTTTTGGTTGCCGAATGTTTCTTTGTTTCACTTGCGAGAGCAAGCGTCTTATAATCGGGATCTAGACTTTTTCCCGTAAACAACATTCTTCTCTTATTTATTTACTTCCTTCTTCTTCAGGTTTTTTCTTTATTCAATTCTTTCATGTTCTGTCCCATTTCGATGTTCCTTCTCTAAGGTCTGGGGTCGAGTGTCTTTCACTATGTATGCGATTGATTTTTTTCGGTAAAACTTGACTTTTCGAACTTCCGTTTGTCTGCTGAAGTTTTGTCGGCGCTTTGCCACCTCACAGATTCTACTGTCCTGCAAGCAACTTTCATTGCAGTTGCAAGTACCAGCGTTGTTCCTTCTAGTTTCACTGGTGTCTGCTCAAAGGTCGTCGGCTATTTGCCCACATAAATGCTTTTTCTTGTGATATAGGCAACTTTCATGGTAGTTGCAAGTGTTAGTGTTGTTCATCGTAGTTTCATGTGGGACTTAAAACCCTAAAGAACTAATTATGAATCTTAATTTTTCGGCTAAACTTGTGCCTGCTCAAAGATTACCGGCTTTGTTTCCTCGCCGCGTGCTTTGTCCATTGCTAATTTATTATTAAAATATCTTATTGGAGTTTTTGTCAATATACACGAAAATATAAATTTTTGGTAGACCTAGTTTCTTCATCATGTTTGACTTGTTCCATTTTTTTCGACTCTTATGTTTGAAAAAAAATTTCAAAACGTTCCAGTCAATTTTTTTTTTCTTAAGCGTGTTTAGCACATTGCTCATTTTAATCAAGGTGGTTCAGAACAAAAAAAAGTTTTTTTTTCAGTTTTGTGATGAGAATTTTGGAAACCTCGAAGTTGCATTTTTAAAAGCAGTCAATATAGTAAGCATAAAAAGCGGTTGGCTGCCCCCATCCTTTTTGGGTCTTTTCGGTTATACTTACCCCCCCTCCCCCCCTTCCCCCACCCCCCCAAAAATTGAAGAAATTTGGCAATTCAAATTTCGAGTTGAAATTGAAAGCGCAAAAGCGAGTGAAACAAACAATTAAATACCACTCGAGTGCAATTAGCAGCTGCTCGATTAGGAAACAAAAGTATATGTCAAAAGCTGCTAATTGCAAGCGAGTGCTATTTAGTTTCACTCGCTTTCGCGGTTTCAATTTCAACTCGAAATTTGAATTGCCAAATTTATTCATTTAGGCGGATAGAACAGAAAATACCCTCCTTTTTTTTTATCGTTGCATTCAATTTTTTTTATTTAATACTTTTGACGTTAACAATCTGTTTAAAGCACCGTAGGTTCGACCTGTAATAGGTTCTTATTCTGACATGTAAAAAGCAAAATTTGAACATAAATCAAATTTGGTTCAAATTAATAGTTTGCTTGAAATTGTATTTATTTGACAGAGTATTGTTCTGGTGAGAGCATTTATTTTTCTCAGTTGCCACTTAGGCTTCCACAGAAAAGGGTCTCTGATCTATATAATCCGTTTTTGTTTTCTTGAATTTTGCCAAGCTTTTTTGCTCCTTGAATGGTTTTCTCAAAAATGTTTGCTTTGATGGTTGCGGCTGCTGCTTCGATCATTGTGTATACTTGTTTGTTTTTTATTTAGCGCTTTTAGGGTGCGAATGGAATGACGTGCAAATATAGTCTATTCTGATTGCTATTATTTAGCTTTATAATCAAAACGGATGTTGTTTTGCTGTTTCAGGTTGGATGCAAGAGAAGCTTCGCCTCGGTGCGTACAGAAATAGCAAGATGTTGACAGATGAAGATCAAGCGGCTCTAATGATAGACAAGGAGAAGCTGCGCAAGCTGAATGAACAGCATCTAAACAAGTCAAAATAATTGCCATAAAACCTCGGGGCTTGATAGTTCTGCTATCATTTTAGAATTAGAGAGGATAATATATTAGATGCGGATCACAAAATAAACCCTGAATAATTTTGTAATTAGTTTTTAAACCAATTCTGATCAATAATTTTGTTTCGGTATTTTATAGATAATTCGTTCAAAAGAAAATTATGTTTTGTTAGCTATTTAAGTTGATTTGTAGAGTAGAAATGATTTATAGACTTAATTTTTGAGCTTGTAAACTCGATTCATTTATGACACGCTGAACTGTTTTGCAATTGAATTTTAGAGTGTCAAAAACTCTAATTTAAATCTCTAATTTTAGTCCGACCACGTAGTGGGGAGGAATTTTGTATTCAGTTGTATTTTCTGCGCAGGTATATCAGGAAATTTTTCAAATATATGTTTTTGAAAAATTTCACAATTAGTTTCCAATATTTTAAGTTTAAATGAACGTTGTGGTTAAAGAAAAGGTTATAAAAGTTGTTCAATGTCAAATTTTTTTTGACGGCTTTGACTGTCTTTTCAATTTCAATTTAACTGGAAGCCAATTCCACTCTAGAATTAGTAAACAGCAAATTGGCGTTTAACAACGTGAATTACTCCTAGTTACCATTTGAATAAGCAAGGGTACCGCAACCAAGTGCTAATTTACAAAAGTGGACCATGAAGTCTTGCTCGTGCTTCAACTCGCTCACTAATAAGTTCAAATTCAATCAACTTTTCAGCGTAATTGGCGTAGAGGTAATACCCATGCTTGAAACGACAAAGCTCTGGATTTCGAGTCCGGTCGAAACCAGTTTTTTTTACTTGTATGCTTTTCTGGGGTATCGTCTGCGTTGACTTTTGTTAGTTTGTTACCGCTGCAGGAGTGTTTTTGAAGGTTCAGTTTTCTTCTTGCATTTGGAAAGCCATTTCTTAAGTCCCAGAGATCGTGGTAATTAAGTTGATTTTTTTTCGGAGTTTTGTATGCATTTCAAACTTTTTCGCACGAGCGTAGTGTGATAGTACGATGCATTTTTTCTAACCTAAGTCGGAAATAAAAGTGCTACTGCTGGTGGCAATTTTCAATCGAGTGGCTGTATTAGCAATATTTTGCCAAGTGCTTTGATTTTGATCGGTAATAGGCTAACACGGTTGATGATTTTTAATTCATCAAAAGAAAGGAAAAACTATTTGATTCATACAACAGTATAATAATTTAAATCCTTCTCAGAAAATTTCCAACTTGGTTTACTTCGCGACATTTTTGAAATGCATAATTTATTCGCAATTTGGTTTAATACATTCTAGTTCTAGTGGTGCCTTTCGCTTATTATATTGCAAAATATTACATGCAGATTTTTTTGTGTATGAATTTTGCCGCTTTCTCGCCGGTGTTTGCGAAGCTGAATCGTTGCCTCTGTGTTATTGCTTAGTTACACATGCGAGCTTGTGAATATTGTGTAATAATGCTCGTTTGACGGCATTTTTGCTATAATCATATTCTGCGGAAGCATTGGAATTTTTATAGCATCTGGTCCATTTCTGACTAGTGTTTCTCGCTAGCGAAGAGTTGGTGGCTGAAAGGGAAGGAAGTGAGATGCCAAAGCTCGACTTTGCAGGCTCAAATCCAACAGTAAGCAACAATTTTTATTGTTCGAGGCTTATTTCTACTTTTCTAAGAGCTGTTTTTTGTCGTTCTCTTCCTTGTGTTTGCGAAGCGCAGCTTTGCTTCTGTCGACAAAACTGCATTTTTGTAGTACTTTTCAGCGCATAGATGACATAGTTCGAGATCCTGGATCATGTTTAGAAATTTCCTGCTTGAAATTGTTTTTTGGCTCCAATATCATATGTTTGCTAGATGCGTTATTTCTTCATAAGCCGAATAATTTTTCAATCAATATTTCAGACAGTTGTAATTATAATAATTGAGTTGGAAATTGTTGAATCTTTTTTTTGGCTTAGAGATTTCTTTTGGAAAATATTGATATACTTGCGCTCAATTTTTTTCAACAATGGCCTAGTGTGCGTTGATTTTGGATGTCCTGTTCATTTTTTTCCAAAATCAGGTATAACAAATAATCATCGGAATGGGTCGAGTGATATATCATATTAAAGTGTCGAGAAAAACTGGCATAAAATTTTTGAGCTTCAGTCAAATTTTGAGCCAGTAAAGTGATTGAGTTAAGTTCGTTCTATAAGAAAATTAGTAATTTATGCTAAAAATCTTGGTATTACTTAAAGGAAAACAATCTTTTGAAGCTCAATCCTTGAAAAACATTCTTCTGGAAAATTTTTTATGCATATCTGGAAAGTAAAAACTTTCAAAAATACTTTAAAAAATCTTGTAGGGCAAAACATTGAAAATTGTTTTAAGATTTTTTTTCAACTGTTTTTTTAAATATTTTGTGAAGAGAATTGTAATCGTTTATGCCTAACTAACTAAATTTTTACGCGTTGGCGTAGTTCTGTCATCACACGACGCACATAGTTTGAAAAAATATGGGAATGTGGTCGGAACATTCTGTGCTACGTGCACAACAACCAGCTATCCTTGTTGTTAGGTTTTTCGTTTGCTTTTCAGAAACAATTAACTTTTTTCAGGCACTTTCTGGAAAAAACTGCAAGAGAATTTCTAGTTTTTGTATTTTCTGATTACGTTAAAAATTGTGTAGGTTTGAAGTTTTGAAGAAGATAGGCTTGTTAAAAAACCAAACTTAATTTTGTGACTGTATGTGTAGTAGCCGAGCGCTTTAAAAGCTACATTTGGTGTTAGCACGTTTTTCATTATAATTTCAGAATCTTTGTTTTGATGAAATGCAGAACGTGATAAGAGATGTCCGCCACAGACTATTTGTGGCCCGTTGCTATGTTGTAACTACTGTAGAAAATCATTCATCCTGGCTATTTCCTGTTTCAATTGTGGCTTTCGCAGGGTATACTGGATGGGCTTTTATTAAATCGAGACAAGTCAAGAAGAAAAATGAATCACTGCAGACTTATTCGAAATTAGACGTTAACCTTGGAGGGTTTAAAGAACAACCGAAAGTGAATAGTGCGGTCAAGTTCAACCCAATGTCAGAGGAAGACAGAGAAATAGCAATGGGAGGTGTGATCAAATCTAGACCAGTTGATCACGGAAGCAGTGAAACGAAAAATGGTCAGAAAAATAGCTCAATTGAAGACAGTTCTGATTCTGATTCTATTGTTGAGATAACGCGCAAAACAGAAAGACCACTCAAAGAATTTATTAAATTGATTAGCGAAAAATGATTTCCTTGATGTTTGACTCGTCCATTTGATTTCTCAAAAACTGATGAAACGTTGGCAAATATACAAAATAAAAACTTTGCAGGAGCAACTTTGATGCCATGATGCATATTTCAAAAATATGACATTGACCGATTAGATGATCCCCGTTAAGAAGTGTGCTTTATTTTCCATTCATCGTACTAAGAAGTTAGTTCTGAGATGATTTTTTTGCTTTTATGATTGTTAAATAATTTGAAACCCAAAGTTTGAGATCCTTTTAGATCGAAAAATGTTGAATTCACTCATACCAATGGGAAAATCCCGACGAATGATTCAAGTCTGGTCTAAAAGGGGACTAGTCTGGGGAGGTGTTGCATCTGTGGCCTTCGTCTGGATGTGCGACATCAAAATGATCCAAGAAAATATCCCTTTTTACGGTAGGAAATTCAGCGAAGATAATGGAACCTGGAAACAGTTTTAGACCAGACATGACCAGACGTCCAAATTGAGACTTAACCGAGGATTATTGAATTGAAAGGCGACCTTTTGAGGAGCCATGGACTAATCAGTTTAATGTGTGTGCAAGAATCTGTTTTGTATTATACTACTAAATAACTAGACTTGCTACCGTGTTTCCAAAACCACCGTGAAAATTTAAATTCCAAAACCACCGTGTTTTGAGCGTTTCTTGTGACGAAATGTAATATGAGATCACTTTCATACATATATAAAACTGATCTCATGTATGTAATTATATATACGTGACCGCTTGATTCCAAATCAATTTTATTGGTTCCAGAGTCGAATTTGTTTTTGTTGTAATTGTTTCTGAATAGTTTTAGACTGAAATCAAGCATTGAAAATTAAATCAAACCGGAGACCCTTCTGAGGAGTATTTCTATTAAATTATGATTGATTTTGTATCTTTTTTTTCCAGATTACTATGATGACCAGTTTTTTGGTCAAATTCAAGCTCTTAGCAGAAAAATTCCCGGTACATTGAAATAGGAAGCTTCCTATTCCAGCATTCATGAACTCATATATGATTTCTCCAACTGCTTCGTTATAGATCGGCAGTATATTACACGTGATTAGCAAAGCCAAATAACGACTTGGTTAAAATGGTCCACTTGACTAATATGCGAAAAATAGTCACTCAATGAGTCCTCGCGGCTATGTTAAACATGGTACCAAATTGATTGAGCCTAATCTATTCTGACTGTGTGTTAATCTTAACAATCTTACAACAATCTCCGCCATATAACCATCAAAAGAGTCCCAAATTACCCCACGCCACATCAAAACCGTATCTTACTTTCAAATAAGTAAATATTATTTCAACCAATAGAATTAGAGGAGCAATTTGAAAACCTTGCCAAGATGAGGAGCAGAAGTAATTCAGGAGCGATGCTAGACGTGTACTACCACCAGCTGACCATAATTCTGGACGAGTTGCAGCACCCTTTAACGGGACTGTTGTCGAATAGGGACCCGAAGGCACAGTATTATCACCATGCCTGGATGCGAGACAACGTCTACTGCTGTCTGTCCACTTGGGGACTGAGTTTGGCCTACAGGAAGTGTACGACAGATAGAGACAGCGAAGCCCGAGTCAAGTAAGTTAATGTTGTTTTTTCTTCTGAAAGCTCACATAGGCGGTAGGAACAGTGCGTCTGATTTGATACAAACAGCCTGGTCGTATTCTATTCTGTTTGGTGAATCATGTCTTTCTCTCTTTTCAATCATTTGGAATCGTGTGTTTTTATTAATTCATGAAAAAATAGTATAATTATACATCAAGTAATAATGTGTGTAGCTATCTTAGAGGTTGTCAAGAGCAAAGTTTGTCGAGATACATAATTTAGCTCGCGTCATTCAATACATCAACAATAAGTTTTTATTTAACAAAATTTTGTAGCCTTGGACCAAGACCCAAGACCCTTACGATGATGGCTCTAGTTAAACAGATAGAAACTATAGTTGTAATTAAAATTCAATGTGAGCTTGTTTTTTCATTAACGTGTTTTAGTGTAAACTCGCCGGGGTTTGGTCTGTGTTTGAAACGGCATAATGTCTATTTGTTTACTGTTGTAGCCAGTTAGAGAGGAGTGTGGTGAAACTGATGAGGGGACTCATGATGTGCATGATGATGCAGTCCGACAAAATAGAGACCTTCAAAAAGTAAGTAACACCATAACCAATTCGAGTAACCTTGTTAAGTTTTATTT